ATAATTTTTTATTATTTATTTTTTTGTTTACTAAATTTATGTTTAATAATATTTTCATAAAAAATTTTCCTTTATTGTTTTAATACTTTTTGATAATAATATTTTTAAAAAGTAAGTATAATAATAAATAATAATAAGATATAATAACAATAATAAATAAATAAACAAATAATAAATATAATAGTAAACAATAAGTGTAATTGATATTTAATATTTTTGTTCCTCACGTTCATTCCTACTGTACTACTCAAACGGTGAAACCTGATATAGTCGGCCATGACTAACCTCCAATATTGAGCTGTCAGTTTGCTATGTTTTGTAAAACGCGGATTGATATTCACGCCTATAGAAACATCTAATCGTTATAAGTAAACTTGTTTTATATTCACTATTAAATATTATTTTTCCTTAAATCGCCCTTTTTTCATTTTCAATCTGGATTTTTTTAAATTAATTATCAAAGTCAAAAAATTGCACCAAGAGAGGTGAAAAGAGGGGAAAAGAGTGGAAGGTGAGGAGAAATCGCTTGCTACGCCTATGTGTACTTTTAAATATTTCCCACCGTGCAGCGTCCTTAAGGAAGAAAACCTATCACATGTCAGTCCTGGCAATCCAAAATTTTTTTTTGTGTGCCGGTGTTATTTTTAATAATTTTTGCAAAAGTCCATAGAGAATTTTTAAATCTATTTTTATTCAATTAAACATTTTCAAAATTCAATTATTTCTAAAAATTCATGCTATGCTAATGCTTTAAATATTCAATTATTATCTAAAACTTTTACTGATATTCATTTTTAAATCAATTTTTATTAGAAAAAATTTCTCTGACCAATTCTACTTTCCCTGACTTTTCCCTATGAATTCCCTGATTTTCCTGGCCTGTGGCAACCCTGTGATTTTCAGTGACTATTTTTGCAATTTCAATCAGTCTTTTCAGTAATATTTAACTGATTTTCAGTGAAATTTCACTGATTGTGATGGTTTATAGTTTATAGTGATTTTTGAGTAAAAAAGGGGATTTTAATTTTTTAAAAGGAGATGATTGAAAAGTTGTAATCGTTCCAATTAAAGAAATTTAATTTAAAAAAATTTTAAACCTATTAATTTAAAATAAAAAAAAAATTTAGGATCATAAAAGGGGATTCTACAGTTTCAAGGAAAGAAATTTTTCAAATTAAGAAAAAATTATTATACTGTAGCGTACACAGTCATTACTAGAAAAATTAATCACAATATAAATTATAGACCTGCCTCTGATAATTATATATTTTACTTATACGAGTTTTTTTTTTAATTTGAATTCCTGGTCATTTCCTGGTCAATTTTATAAAATTTCCCGGTCAAATTTTTATCAACGATTAAACACTATTATTGTATAATTTTTTAAATGATCAAGAATGAGAACGAAAAAGCATGAAGACAAACTATGTATTTAGTTTACTATGTTATTAGTAATTTTAAACTACAGTTACATTCGCGAAATTAAAAAAAATTATCATTTTTGGATTGTTTAACAAATTTAAAGAACAAATAGTAGGAAGAACACAAGAAATTCCCGGTTTAAGAAAAAATCCCGGTCATTTCCCGGATTCCCGGTCAGCTCGCCACCCTGTTATAATATATATAATTATTGGGCATTGTCGACTATGCCTGGGCAATGTCTAAAATGTTCATATCATACAACTTTTCCGGGCAATGTCGTCATTGCCCGGTTCAACTTAGGCAATATCGAAAATACTATATAATATCGCCTTATACCTCATGATATATATGTTACGGTCAATGTCGATTATTAGGCATTGTCGACAATGCCCGGGCAATGTCGACATTGCCCGTCAATTTCGGTCAATGTTTGAAAATTTTCAAGATATTCAGCTTTTCCGGGCAATGTCGACATTGCCCGATCTATCTTGGGCAATGTTAAAAATGCTGTCGATGAAGTAGTCATGATATAAACAAAGTTAATATTATATCCTTCGCATTCAACTGCAAGAACAAATAAAAATATTATTATTAACACGAGAAGAAAAAAATTGGCATTATTGAATAACATTGCCCAAACATGAGTGGGCAATGTCGACATTGCCCGGGCACTAACACATTTCTTTGACCCTTATTAAAAATACTCGGGCAATGTCGACAATGCCCACTCATTTTAGGCAATGTCGAGATTGACCGGCTATGTCGACAATGCCCAGTGATTTTGGGCATTGTCAACATTGACCGGGCATTGTCGACATTGCCCAATAATCGACATTGACCGTAACATATATAAAATTAATCACACAATCCGGTTTAATTAAATTTTAAAGGATTTAACATCTAAAAAACGTAATGACAATTTTTTTATTTCTTCTGACGAATATGAAACGTGTGTTTCATATTGCAGTCGCAAAAGCACAATGGATTTATGTTTATGATTTACCAAGACCACTTAACAAAATTTATGAACTTGCGTCTTCTTAAGGACGTCCATGAAAAAATGACTATTTTTTTTATCGTTTTTTCGTTAAAAAATTGTTTAAAAAATCTTGAAAAATTTGTTTTCACCGAAAAAAGGCTTTCGTAGAATACACTTAATTTTTTTTTGAATAAAATATTTGGAGGCGAAATTTTTTTGGAATGATAAAGGACAGTACTTTGCAGGGAGCTCATCCCCATTTTGACAATAATTAAGCGAAAAAGTGATTTAAAAAAATAAATAATGTGGAATATATAACATTGCCCGGGCACTGTCATATTTTACTGAATTTTGTTAAAAATACCCGGGCAATGCCCAAATCAATAATCAACATTGACCGTAACATATATTTACTTACGAAATGTACTCGACAGGAAGCATATGGGGCAAAATTCCTCAATTGTCCTAACTTAAAATAACTTAAAATCGAAAGTCTTCAAATCGAGCTGATTTTTGCACAAACTTTAATAATATGGGAGAGAACTTTACCCATAAAATATTAAGACATTTTATTAAAAATTGTAGGGGGGAGGGGGTTAAAGTTTTTAGTAACGTGTGAACAGTGGATTCCTTTAGCTAATATAGCTAAAATACAGTAGAGTGGACAAAATTTTGACCTATATGTTTTCGAAAGGTTTTTTCCTCTTTCGAATGGTGTAATTTTTTTTTTTAATTAACAATTTAACTTATTTTTTTCAAAGTTAAAAATATTTTTCACTTTTTTTTGAAAAACAGAATTTTTTTTCTTTTTTTTTGCTTTAAAATAAAGCTTAATATGTGTACTTTCCATACTTGATTAGGAAAAAATGACGTTTTTTTCGAATTATTAATTAATTAATTAATAAAAATCAGTAAAAAATTACTAAACAATAAAATATTTTTTAAGCAAGTAAACTTTTTTTAATTAAGAGATTATCATCGTAAAGCTTACCTAATTCCGCATCCAATAAGTATAATTACTTATTGGAATGAATAATTACTTAATGGCCTTGAGTATTCCAAAGTTGTCAGCGCGTTTTTTATATACAGATTTGTTATTTTTCATAGAATAATCAAGGGTTCTGTTAATTGCTCAGCATTGGTATCAAAGGCTCCACCTGTAAATTTACGTTCTTACAATTTAATTCGTGTTTCATCCCATAGAACTGACTATGGTAAAAACTCAGCTATATTTCTAGAATGGTTGCTGAGGAGAATGAATATTGTGATAAAATTGATGTCTTTAAGCAAAACGAGAACATATTTACTAATAATTTGCGAAAACAAGTCTTATTGACAAATTAATTTGCGACAGTACTTACTTATTTTTATAACCGTTTTTGTATTAAGGGCTCTGCCCGTATAAGAATCTTAAATAAATAATTACACCTATTTTTACAAATAATTGTTAAATGAATAAATAATTGAAAATTTATTTATTAATTTTTTGAAAAAAGGACATTTTCTTCTTCTTTTTTACTTTAAAATAAAGCTCAATATGTGTACTTTCAATACCCGATTAGAAAAAAATGCCGTTTTCTTTTGTGTTTCGAATAATTAATTAATTAATTAATTAATAATAGTAAGAAATTACTAAAAAATTAAATATTTTTCAAGCAAATAAACTTTTCTTAATTATGAGCTTATCATCGTAAAGATTGCCAAATTCCGCATCCAACAAGCATAAACTAAGCTTTATTTGAAAAAAGAATAAAAAGAAAAAATGTTATTTTTCAAAAAATTAATAAATAAATAATCAATTATTTATTTATTTAACAATTATTTATAAAAAACTGTTGAGTTTATGCTTGTTGGATGCGGAATTTGGTAAGATTTACGATGATAAGCTCATAATTAAGAAAAGTTGATTTGCTTAAAAAATATTTCATTTTTTAGTAATTTCTTACTATTATTAATTAAATAATTAATTAATTATTCGAAACACAAAAGAAAACGGCATTTTTTCCTAATCGGGTATTGATAGTACACATATTGAGCTTTATTTTAAAGCAAAAAAGAAGAAAAAAATGTCCTTTTTTCAAAAAATTAATAAATAAATTTTCAATTATTTATTTATTTAACAATTATTTGTAAAAATAGGTGTAATTACACTTGTTGGATGCGGAATTAGGTAAGTTTTACGATGATAATCTCATAATTAAGAAAAGTTTACTTGCTTAAAAAATATTTCATTTTTTAGTAATTTTTTACTGATTTTTATTAATTAATTAATTAATAATTCGAAAACAAAAAAAACGGTATTTTGTCCTAATCGGTTATGGAAAGTACACATAGGTATTAGGCTTTATTTTAAAGCAAAAAAAGAGAAAAAAATTTTTAATTTTGAAAAAAATAAGTTTAATTGTTAATTAAAAAAACACTTTTCAAACGTATTATCACAACCTGTTGAAGTGAACGGAAAATAAAAGTAAATTGTACATAAAAAGAAACTACACTGAAAACGTATGCTCTGCTGATTTTTTTAAGTGTGGTACCATAAATATAATACTATATAATTGTTAAAATTGTGATAAATAATAACAAAAAAAATTTTACCCAGGTTTCATTACAAATCTTGGAGACACTGGTGCAATCTTAATCAGGATATAAGACTTTTAGTAAAACATCGAAATCCGAATCAGTCGCAAAACATGAATCAACGATCGAAACGAAATCGAAAAAATCGCCAAAATCCATATAACACTGAGGAATCGACTTTTTACTGGTTTTCCAATCACAATCATTATGCCGATCCATTTTATTCCTTTTACATGAATTCCAGTTACGTTTGATATAATTCTCGTTATTTATTATTTTTAATAATTATATTTGTTATTGTTATGATAATTATTATATTTGTTTTACAGAAATTAGGTATTTTTTATATTGTTTTTTTAAAAGAATGAAAAATACTAGTTTTTGTTAGTTGTGTTACATATTAACTTACTATTATTTATTTTATGTTGAAAGTATATTGATTTTTTTTATCATCACACTATAAAAAAAATTACATATCTATATAGAAAATTGTAAAAAAAATCAACTCAGCCCAGGCGGAAATTTCCCACTGGCAGGGTACCGCGCCTGTACAGACGTCGGTAAGACTGTACTGGCATGGGTCCGCCTGACGACCGGAGCGGTGCAGACATTCTACTGAAACCTGACAATGTGTTGTAGTGGCTGCGCGCCTGGCTCGGTACAGATTTAATGCCGCCGAACAACCGGCGTTGTACCGGCATTCGTCCGTCTGGCAACCAGGACGGGCCAAATTTTGTTCCGAAAGATGACTCGGTCCAGCGGGACCGGCGTTCTACTGGCATTCGTCCGCCTAGCAAGCGACGCGGGCCAAATTATATTCTCTATTAAAAAATAAAATAAAAAAAAATATTTAATTAACTATGCATGGTGCATGTTAATGCCTTTGTACGCTTTTATTACGAAAGACTGATTCCCAAAGATGATTAAGAAAAATAATAATAAAGTATATATTACATAATTTTCGTTTTTTTGCGCTTTAAACCTTAAGTACCCCGTCTTGACCCACTCTCCCCTACAATACCGCTAAACAACAACTTATATATAAAGTGAATAATAATTTTTACTCAGATATTTTTCAATATTTTAGCATTTTATTTATATTATGCAAATAAATTAAAAGTTTTATTATATTTTTATTTAATCTTCAATGTTTTTAATATTTATCTTTATTTTATTATTTAGGAATAATTAGTTGAACTTTATAACTATTCGAAATCAATACAAAATTAACTAAAATAAACATTTGTAACTTACTGCGTTTCATTTATACTTTATAACTGTTTTTAAAGAAGAGAAAAAGATTAATGTAATTAATTTGAAAGAAATATTAAATATTAATTAACACTCACCTTGCATAGTTAATTAAACATTTCTTTTATTTTAATTTTTAATAAAGAATATAAGTTGGCCCGCGCTGGTTGCCAGACGGACGAATGCCAGTACAACGCCGGGTGCTTGGCGGGCTGAAACCTGCACCGAGTCGGACGCATTTTGCAATAGAATCACAGTGCGAATATACTTTCGGATATTTAAAAATTAATAATACAAAAAATGTTTAAAGCATGATGGATTAAATTTATTATTATTATTAATTTTTATTATAAAAAATAAAAATAGCAAAACTTGTCAGATTTTAAAAGATATTTGTGGTAAGATTTTTAAAAGCGAATTTATAAAAAAAATTATCCTATATAAAAATAAAACTAATTTGAAAACTAGTAACAATTACTATATTCTAAGCATATTCTTATTAATAAATTAATTAATAATTTTTAATTCACTTATTTATTGATTTATTATCAATAAATAAACAAATAAGTAATATTAAATAAATCCAATCAAATTTGTTTAATATTACTTATAATTTATTTATAATAAATCAATAAATAAGTAAGTAAATAAAATTAATTAATATATTAATAATAAAATAAATTATATAGTTCTCAGTCGGTAGAATGACTGTACCGCTCGGGTCATTAGACGGACGAATGCCAGTGCAACGCCGGTTGCTAGTTGGTATAAATTTTGATCCGACGGTCGGATCAAATCTTGTACCGCGCCTGTACTGCCGACAGTAGAAAGACTGTACCGAACGTCGGATCCGACTTTGTACCGCGCCAGCAGACATTCTCATCCGAATCGGTACAGACTGTCTGCACTGGCATTGACTCTCCAATTCAACCGGCGCGGGCGCTAGACGGTTGGACGATCCGGTATTCGTCCGACTTTTCCGCCTGGGAGGTGGAAAGAAATTTTGTTTCATTACAATTATTATCATTTTTATTATTACTATTAATATTATTATCATTAATATTATTATTACTATTATTATTATTGTGACTATTATATTTATTATGTAAATTGTGATTTGAACTTAAATTGTTAAACTACAAAATTTTCCGACGTAAACTAATAGCACCTGTTTTTTATATACCTAACTATTAATTTATATTTTTAAGAAATATCCATTATTAAAGTTTTTCCGCCATTTGCTCTTAGGTTTAAATAATTTATTTATATTTTTTAACAATGTTTCATGTTTAACAATTATTAAGAATTCCATTTGCAATTTATTTTCAACTGTTATAATAAACATACAGAGAAAAATTTTAACAAGTATTATTATTTTCTCAAAAAAAGAAAAATTATTTTTATGGCACTAAATAATTATATCACTGATTTGGTTTTTTTGAAATTATTCTTCACAGTCGATGTTTTTATTATATTTTACTCTGTTTAAAAGTAAGAGAAAAAAATACTGTAATTTTAGAAAATACAATATTTTTTCAAAAATCTATTTTGTAATCACTAGAAAAAAATTATTTTATAATTATTACCATTACACTGCAAAAACAAAGTCTTAAAGTACTAATACAGCTCAAGTTTTTTCCTAAATTTAACTTATTTTTGGGCTTAACCCTCCATCCGTCGCACCTTTTTTTGTAACGCGATCCGTCGCAGGTGAGGGAAATTCTCACCCTTATAAATTAGTCCAAACTTGTTTAAAAAGGCCAAATTCTTTTTGAATGTTCATTAGAATTTCTAAACAATCTATTGGCAGTAAAATTAACTTTTATTTCCTGTTAATTATTTAAATAAAAAATTAATGATAAATGAAATCGAGTATATGCGGTCAGTCGCATGGTGAGAAGTCCCAGGCGAGAACTGACGCTGGATTCAGGCTTTACGGAACCTTCGTTGAGGCTTGGTCAACTTTGATCAAGCCTTGGTGAGACGGCGGAACGAAGGTTGCTTCTAGCTATAATGTAACACTTATTTAAGACTGACGCTCCAGTCTTTGTTGTAGATTGGCGTTCAATGTTCAATCAATGCTGCGGAACCCTATAATGTAGGACTGAAACAAGGCTGTTTCCACTGCTCTCAAGTTTACGCGTCTCTCGCGCTCATTCAATATAATATGGAATATGAATTGTATATAATAATAATATTAATAATAATAATAATTATTATTATTATAGTAATGAATATTATTGATATTATTTTTATTCATGTTATATGCGTTTGTTTGGAAATAAGTTACTATTGTAATAATTATATTATTTTCATATAAATAATATATTACTAACAATAAATGTCATTTGAAATAGTAATATTAAAAAAAAAATTTTAGTAAAAAAAGACAATTTTTCTGTTAATCGATACATTTTTTTCTCGATTTTTTAGCAGACTTTTTAACATTATTTACAAACATGTTCACAAGTTTTTATTCACAACACAACACACAATTTTATTACTTTATATAACGCTTAAAACAAAGAATGAAAAATATTCGCTCGCATGTGGGATCGAACTCACGCACCCCGCCCCTAACACATACCGGAAGTCCTAAACGCACGCATTTAAACCGCTCGGCCACAGAAGGCTGGAAGGCACCTCGCCTAATCTACTATTTCAATGCCAGCGCCGTATATTCTGTATATACGGCGCGTCACTCAATATTTGTTCAGCATGGGACACCAATGTTCGTCCCATGCTCGATTAAAGACTCAGTCAATCTTGATACAATATTCACTTTCTTTATTACCGTGTGCACTGAACTATTGTTAAATATCAATATTTATAAATTATTTATTATTAAAATATTTTTTATGATAATTTTATAAGTTAAATTATATATATTATTTTTTTTTCTTGTACAGTGTCAAATTATTATTTTCAAAGTTTAAGAGTTTCGTTTATCTGAAAAATTATTAGTGAAAAAAATGTTCATTAGGTAGTAATAAATATTTATGCTTAGTAGTTTTACACTACGATTAACTGTTTAGTAAATATTATCAAAAAACTATTTTTTGGCAAACACGCGCAGCTAAACACAAATAACCTTGAAACTCCAGCATTACCAACTCAACACATACGTTAAACTCTTGAGTTGGCAATGCTAAAGTCTCAAGGTTATTTGTGTTTAATCGCACGCGTATGACAAAAAATTATTTTCCCCCCGCTCTAACAGATGGCTAGTGCGAAGATCAACCAATGCACAAATGTTCTACTTTCTGCTGCGAAATCGAAGAGGGAAGTATGTACTTTCGACCGAGATATAAAAAAAGTAATTATTCACCATCTTATGGCCAGCAGTTACAACAGCTAGATTCTCTAAATTTATTTCCATTGGTATCGTGCCGTCATTCTCCGTTAATGATTCGTTTTGATTTTTTTTTCCAAATTTTTTTCCATATATATGTATAGCTCGTTTACAAGACATACCGAGCTTCATTGCTGCTAACGCGCGTTTAATGCAACTAATATTTTGCACCGGAGACTTGCGCTTAAAGCTGCGCCCCATATCTGTAGAGAAAAAACACATAAAATATAAAAACAAAAATATGTCAAAACATAAAAAAATAAACAAATAGGTGCCGACTCAGGACCATCACCAATGTATACAAATTTCACATCATTACACAAACAACAAAATTTTAATTGAAAAATTGACATAACCCATCAGTTACAACATTAAATGAAGAAACCAGAACAATCATTTATTTGGAATTTCCAAAATATTTACTTATCTGCAGCTACTTCCGTGTAAAGGAGGAAAATGATATTCAGTTTGTGGAAAAAAATAAAAACGTGCTCACGATGAGTAGATTAAACAAGAATAGAAATTTTGGGCATAAATTATGTCCGTGTCTATTAACATGTAAAATCACAAAATTTTCGAATCGACATGTGAACCATCTTTGCAAAAAAAGGGGGTGCCGACTTTACCCACAGTGCCGACATAAGACCACATTCCCCTAATATTTATTTTTAATTTAATAGTTTTTTATAATAATAATAATAATCATTATTATTAATAAATTAATAATTAATATAAATATTATACACTAAATAAATATTAATATTTATTTACCAATTGATATCTTAATAATAATAAATAATAATAATTTTTAAATAGTATACAAAATTATCATAAAAAATATTTTAATATTAATTAATTTATAAATATTTATATTTAATATTTTTAAGTGCACACGTCAATAAATAAACTGTCAAGATTGATTCAGGCTTGAATTAAGATCAGATGTTCGAGCTTCACTCACGAAGATTGACCGAGTCTTGAATCGAGCATGGAACGAACATTGGTGTCCAATGCTGAACACAGTAAAAAGTAAATCTTAATTTAAGAGCTGCCTTAAATTCAACACTGTCTGCTATAATGTTAAAGGATACGAAAAACGTGCGTAAATTCAACATTGACTGTCTTAAAAATGTTGCATCTTAATTTAAGGCAGCTTTCGTGCCTTAAAATAAGATTTTCTTTTTACTGTGAATCAACATTGAGTGACAGTGGTATAAAGACTGCTTCAACACTGGGTTACCCAGGCTGGGCGTTCAAGGCTCGATAAATCTTCAATCCATCGTCAGCATTGGTCTTTCGCGCGTGGGGTTCCCTCACTTCGCGTCAAAAATCCCCGACATTTGCTGCTTTCAAATTCAATAACAAAGAAATTAAAATATAAAAAAACACCAAAATTGTTTTAATCTAAAGAAGAAGAGTGCCGTAAAAGGTACTGAGAATATGAAATTATAATTTTTTGTATTTTAAAAGTTATAAATAAAAAAAGAA